TGCATTGCGCGGCATTGTGTGGCACATAAATTTTATTGCGTATACGCAACGTTGCAGCCGTATGTCTAAATGGCCAACAGCAGACAACATGATGTTTAATATTTATTTGCCCGGCCCCAATGATGACGTTGTGGCGGCCACTTTGCCTAGTCCGGCGACAGCTGCCGGGTGTCGCGTTCAGTTCTCATGGCGCTGGCACAATGACAAATTACAAGTTGAAAGTTGACTGAACTTTGGCCGCTTTGATTTTTTTTCACTGCTCGACTTCTAGTGCCACTGTCTCTGCCTCTGCCTCTGTCTCTACCTCTGCTGCCGCGGCAGCTGATGATGTCTTCTGTTTCTTCTTGTTTGTGATTTTCAACCGCTGCCCAATCTCTCGCGCAGCCTATGGAATTGATGGGGCTCTTGTTGTTTTGGCAAATGAGGCGCAGATAAGCGTCAACTTTGACGCCCTCTTCTTCGGCTACTTTTGCTTATCAACACACACACACGCATACCAAATTTAGCTGTGCTGCGCTCTTTGATTGTTGTTTTCTTGTTTCTCTGTGCATGTGATGGCCACCCATTTGAACCCAATCAGAACTTTCTCCTCCTCACTCTCCGCCTCATTTATTTAGTTAGCAGTCGTTCGATCCCTCAATTCAGAGCCATTGATTTTGTTTCGAAAGTGACTTCATCAAAGTTGCATATTGGATTGCAGATTAGGATAAATCAGAGAATAAATTTCTTGGTCGTCGGACTTGGGCTTTGAATCAATTGACTGGTTGGCAGCTGGTTCTTGCAGCCTGAGTGGAAATGATGATGATGGTTCTCTTTAGTTGTGGAACTGAGTTTTCATATAAGTCAAATAGATGTGGAGGTAATAGACGAAGATCTTAATATTATATACATACTACTATACATACTATATAATTGACTACTATATTTTATTTTTATATTTTTAAATGAATTATTAAATCAATCAGAATATTTTATAATAGTATATAAATTTGAATTATATTTTTTAAAATTAAAACCTTTTTTGTAATAATGTAAATAATAGTTTATTAAATAATTATAAAATTCTGTATTCTGTAAGAAATTTAAAATTTAATTTTAACTTGTTTCTCAATAGATATATTATATATTACTATACACTAATTATGCCTGGATAATTTTCCTTACCATAAACTATTTCTAATTAGTTACTGCAAAGCTTTACAAATCTAATTACAGTTGAATTTCATGGCATACATTTGCATAAATCCTGGATGGAAATTCTTGCCAACTTCAAATCCTGAAAGAATACGTGCATGTATACACATATACACACACATATGTATAGATATGTGTGTGTAGCTATGTATATGGTGTAGTTGCCATGCAAAACCCAGGCACTCATCTTTTTTAATGCCACTTCTGCTGATTTTACCTCAATCAACGCAAATCCTCAGTGAGTGGCGGCGGTATTTGCTGCATTTCAATTGCATTTCCACTTTCCTCCAGGCTCATTAGACTTGCATATGCTTGGCTTTACCATTGGTACGTCTGGGTCTTCCCTTTGACGGCATACATACCGAATCCGAATCCGAATCCCCAGTGTCAATACAGAAGCAGCTTCTGCTCCACATTTGGTGCTTAACTTTCGTTTTTTGTTTTTCTCTTATTCCATTTTTCAGCTCTTCTCCTCTGTGTTAGACAAACTCTTGTTCGACATATGCAACATTTCCTGTTTGGGAACTTGCCATTCAGTTGGTCTTTGGCTTTTAGCGTTTTGGTAATTCTGCTAATCTGCAAAGATTTTCTAGCAAAAGCTGCCGCATCATTCATTAAAATCAAATCTGGCAAAACAAAACAATTCTAGTTTCGTTATTTCTAAACAAAAAAGAATAAAGAAAAAAAGAATAAATAAAAGTGTATATAAATAAAAACTGAGCGCAGAGACAACGATTATCGAAATGGCAAAAGGAAGACCTTGATCTTTAGATTATCACATCAATAAATGGTAGTTTTTGTTGTTGCCTCACGAGTGCGCAGCTCTGTCGTCTTCTTTGGTACGTTTCGTGTTTGTGTCTTTGGCGTGAAAGAAACGAAAACGAAATTGAAATTTAAATTCTAACACTGACAAATAGTAGCCAGCCCAGTCAGCCTCACAGCCTCTCAGCCTCTCAGCTGCTGCGTCGACGGCGACAGCGTCAGAGACATTAACGCACGCAAACTGGTGGAACCAGTCAAACAGCCATCCGAGTCGAACCAAAAGAACTTCTTGAACTAATTAAGAGTTGCCAGAGCAAATAAAAGATATTTTCATGTTTACCTTAATAACTGCGTCTCGCGCTTTTTCGTATTGCAACTCTATAAAAAAAGAAACAAGTTAGATGCTTGCAGCCGGGCGTTATCGACTGCACAATACTCATACCTTCAGATCGACGTATACAATGGGCATATGACATATATATGCAAGTGAACAGTAAACTAGTATTTTATTTGGAATTTCTTAACCTAAAACCGTAGAAATGCACTTTCCAATTCGACACGGATCCGGTAAATCTAGACGGATAGCAAGAAGAACATTGCAAGGAACCAATATGCTCATTTCTCTTATGTCAATGTGTATATCAACAAACAAAAAAAGAAGCAAAGAAAAAACAAATATAATTTCCCCGTTGCTAGCCAAAAACATTGATGGAAATTGCCGTACGAGTGCGATTACGTGATTGCATAAAAAACCATAAAAAGCGATTTGAACTTGAAAACACAGAGAGCGTCATGCAACTGAAACAAAGTAAAAACAGCATTAGCCAACCCAAACACACACACACACACACAAGTATTTTTCTTTTTATATGTTGCTTAGGTTTTTTTTAACAAAAAACTGCAAACTAATGGGAAAAGTGATTTCGACAGGTCGTATACGTATTATTTTATGTTATTACTATTATTTTATTTTATGAATAGCTATGGAATACATATGCTACACATTTAAACTAATGTTAATTTTTTTTATATAAAAGTATATTATTTATTATAAGGTAAAAACACAGATTCTGACATATGTAGTCCCATTTAAATTCTTATAAAAATTTATAAAAATTAGAATAACTTAAAAATAGTGTGACTGATAAAATGATTCACTGGAAGTCTGATAATTTTACTTATACAATTCCATTTAATTGAAATTCAGAGTATAGCTATAAAATATTATAATATATTATAGTGTAATAGAGAAATGCATAGAGCTCTCTAAAAATGTCAGGGTATTTTTTCGTTCGATACTGTTTTTGTGGCGTATGTTAACAAGTAAATCGTTTGAAGCAAAACGTACTAACCATAAAATTGTTACAATGGCGACCCCAGCACATTAGCAGCAGCAGCAACAACAACAACAACGACGAAAGCAATGTAAAACAAACAGATTAAATTGAATGGCGGCCGGCCGAAAGAGAAGAGTCTGAAAACGCTTACCAGTTACGTTTGTAGCCACAAACACACACAGATGTTGTTCTGGTTGCATTGATTTGTGGTTAAGCACTGCATTTAGCTCCACAAAATAAATAAATAATAATAATAATAAACATATTGTAAGCATTTAAAAAATAGTGTTAAGTTTGTTGAAAATGTGAGCAATTTTGCAGGCTAACAAAATATGATACCTTTCAGTAAAATATAAATAAATAATAAAT